TCCATGTAGTATATAACGTGCGACATACATTAGACATTTCCACTTCACTGATAAGCCATTGCATAGTTCGTTTTGATAAAAATACGTGTAGACACAGCGACTTTAACGGTCACACAGCAGCACTATGATTCAAACGAACTTCACAAGAACAACAACGATCAGTCATTTCAATTCACAGTACAACAGATCAAGTTAGAAAAATAAGTAAAAATACGATTTGACCCACGATTACATTGCTTGTTGCATATAGTGTTTTTTATATAGATAGTAATATGTTGTCTTATTTAGTGTTTTATTTCTATTTTTGTTGTTAAATAACAGAAATAAGGATATAAATGATTTTTGATTGTTTGATTTCATCAAAATCAGTTTTGTTTGAATACACGCACCAATCGAATTATTCCTATAACAAAACTGCTATTCATTGCACCTGAATTACATATGCTGTTTATATGAAATACTCAAACATCTTTTTGCTGCTCAATATATATTTATATGCATACACACTTACTAAAGTCAATTTGAAAGATTCTATCTCTATCAAACAAATGTAGATAGTTATATTATGATCTTTGTAAGATCAACGTGTACATTAATTTAAGTACAGAATTCATAGTTATTTAACTGTGATATTCTATACACATGGCATAAACTAAATGAGAGCACCATCTTTCAGGTAAAGTATAGTTTATATATATTTGGGGCACAAATAATCAGCGTTTTTTAGTAGTTTCAGTTTTTTCGATTTGAAATTCGATGAATTATTACTATCCCTTTAATTCATTCATTATCACATGTTATAGTTGATCATTTTGTTTCGTCCAATGTTACTTGTTGTTCTAACTCAATGTGTGTGTCAAGTCTTCTGAAAAATGTTGATAGGACACATTTTTGTTCGATAGACAAGTGTTACTTGCCCTTTGTCTTCTACTCGTATATGTATACGTTTAGGCAATTTTTATATATGCAAGTTTTTCATTCCTCCTGAAATAAAGATCGTGTGCAAGTTTAAATCATACGCACTTATACACATGTATATAACATAATATAAATAAAAAGAGAAGAAAAGAAGAAACCATGGCACTCAACCATACATACACACTCGAAACAGCCTTCATTTTTGCAACCGCTTTCCTTTAACATTAACAACTGTACTCTACGAAGAATAATAATTATTCGTTTTTTCTTTCGTCATCATTCGCCAAGGTTTTACTTCACCGTCCTTCACAATAATCATTAAGAAAAGAAAGCACATATTATACAATTCATATCACACTCATGATCAATACACACTGGAGAGCAAATGTCGATTGTGACTAACCTGTTCGAAGATCCTCGACACGATCCTGTCGCCGCATTTCTACTACAAGTTTTCATTACGCTCGTTCTGTGCAAAATATTCACCAAATTGCTGTCATTCATTCATCAACCAGCAGTCATCGGTCAAATTTTGGCGGGTATAGTTCTGGGGCCAAGTGCATTAGGTTTTGTACCCGGTTTCAATTCATTTATGTTTCCCACTTACACGCTCGCTGCTTTTCAATTAGTTGCGTCCATGGGTCTCATATTTTTCATGTTCTATCTTGGTCTGAAATTAGATCCGAACGAAATTCGAAGAGGATATCGGCGTACACTACCTGTGGCCATGGTCAGCATCATGATACCAGTGAGTATCGGCTGTGCTACTAGTCTATGGCTTTATTCAATGGTTCCACCTAATGTTAGCAAGGCATCATTTATTCTGTTTGTTGGTGAGAAAGTGCGCACTTATATGATTGTATGTGAATAACATGTAAACATTATTATTGCTTACTTACAGGTTCTGGAATCGGTTTCTCGGCTTTTCCAGTTTTGGCCTCGATTTTGCAAAGTATGAATCTTATTACAACAACACTTGGTGTGTATAACGAAATTGAATGTTAGAATAAGATTGCTAACAATTCGAAAAATCGAACAAGATGTATTTTTTTGTTCTAGTAACATACCGTTGAGTAGACTGAAATGAGTGGGTGAAGATAATGTCAATTTTAGATTTCTAACTCAATTGAAAAGCATTTCAATGCATGTTTTTTTTTCTAAGGAACAGCTCATTTTTCGACAAGAATTTGAAGTTTTACATTTTGTTATGGTGAATCATTTAAGCCGCCAAATAATCCTTTTAAGATGATTCGTGAACCTCATGAGAAAAAGACATGATAGACTGAAAGAGTTTTCCCAAAATGTATCACATTTTTTTTTTCGTGATAAATACATTAAGAAATAGTCTCTACTCAGTTTGAAGATGGTTATAACATTACATGTTTGTTTTTATTCAGAGAAAAATAACACAAATAACCTTACAGCATTATTTCTTAGTTGCCAGAAATGGAACACGAGTGCTTGTAATGTGGAAACAACTTCTCGAAAGAAATTGATTCTGGTATTATTTAAAGATAAAGTACTTCTAATTTACGATAACTTAGTCTTTTCTGATTAGAAAACGATAAATCTCGTAACTCGATTCAACTTTTCTAGTTATTACGGTTAAGATCATTTTTCTGTTCGTTCCTAGATAATATGAAAGGAAAATCAAATGCACATAATGTTGTTATTTCCATTTTTCTCGGTTGTGACGAAGTTTCAATGAATGACATCAATGGAACAGGAAAATTCGAAATTGAGTTTTCTTTTAATAACAATTGAATGTAGTACTCATAATCAGTTCATAAAACTGAGTCAAATAATATATATTTTAGAAGCATTTTTTCGATTCAATATTATTCTTAGTCCTTCTTCGTACTAAGCTTTTTAGCCGATCGTGATTATCATCTTTAATCGTAACTTAGATATTAACCCAAGAAACTAAATAGTTCGATTTATAAAATTCACTAGGGCATGTCAACTTATCTTAGTCCCTTTGTTTTGAACATCTGAAATTGACATTATTCCAATTCACTGGTCAGAATCTACAAAAATTAAAAAAATTAATTTTGCGCAATTTTCGTATCACTAATCACTAGAGCAAATGTCCCTAATTACGACAGCAAAAAATTGCTCCCACTTGTTTGAGTTCGTTCACAACTATTTTACATGTGAATGAAAATATTTTTATATATCAATGATCCCTAGATTCTCCTCTTTCGAATGATGTATAAACGAGTTTTCTCCTCCAAGTTTTTTACCGCGAAATCAGCGGTATACGATCGTCGACTCAATCTGTCGTTATTAGGTGCCCTGTCCCTAATTTCGTCAGCAAGCCATTTTTGGTCCCTAATTACGACACACATAGAAAATTCAAGCAAAATCTTATCTTTCGAAGAAAACAAGTTTTTTAGGCTTTTTCATCGGGAAATGAGCAAAGGTCACCTGAGCAATTTTGTAGAGCGTATCAAGATCTACCATAATCTAAAGGTACATGACAAACGAACGTGTCTAGAATGAGTTTAATAACTTGCGAGGAAGATGTCTAAAATTGACAAAAAAAAAGTGTCCCTAATTTCGTCACCAAGCCATTTTTGGTCCCTAATTTCGTCATCGAGGCATTTTGGTCCCTAATTTCGTCATCAAGGCATTTTTGGTCCCTAATTTCGTCACCGCATCATTACACAGCTAATATACAATTTCTTAATGTAATTTATCGAGAATTAAAATGTGAAACATAAAACATCTATTGTAATGCTTGCTACTAATGTTTATCATGATCTGTGAGAAGGGAAGTGTACGTCATATTTTTACTCGTAAATACTTCAACATTTTTCTTAGTTTATGTTTTATAAACAGTATGTCTATAGTTCATGTTCTTATAGACTGTAATGACTATTTCTTGTCTTATTCAAAGCATCTTATTGTTCTATTTATTGAATAAACTATTTTACGAGAAACACTTGGAAATATTTTCTTAGGTGAGATAGATTTATGCGTATATTTTACTATGTCTAGTTCCCTTTTTTCTATCGATCCTGATCACTTCTGTCATACGAATGCAATTTTCTTTGTTATCTTAATTTATCCGATATGTAGAACTAGCTTTCTATAATTCTATCCCATATTTTACTGTTATGTGGCACTAAATTGATTCGCATTTCGGATAAAATCATATATAATTGAAGGAGTTAGAATTCCTTAAAGACGAGAACTAATAGTTTTAGGAAGCACCAATGAATTTGTTGCATGTGGAAAGTTTCAACAACTCTTTACCTAAAATCGTTCCTTAAGAGAGCTTAATAGCAGAATACTTTGAAAAGAAAACAAATACATACAACAGTTCATCAGAGTAGGAAATTCTGCATAAATGATAGTTCGAAAACTGGTTAGCGATTTTTCTCCTGTATTGTTCATTGTCAGATACACCGGTTGGAGTTCACTAGCAGGATTCTGACATATCGTGTAATGAAATTAATGGATCGATATTATCAAGATGGAGGAGAATACTTGTAAAATGACTCACATTAGTCCCTAGAGAACAAACTTTCAGTAATTGGATAATGTGTTCCAAAAACTAAGCCTAGTTTTAATATACGCTATATGTTTTGTCTCTTTCCAGTAAGTTAGTGACTGCGAATAAAATAATAGCGAGGTGATAACTTCACATATGTGCAGTAGGAAAGAGATAGTCCTTTAAGATCAGAAAAAAAGATAAGTTCTTCAAAAATACATGATAAACCAATCGTATTTAAAAATCATAGAAGGCTGAGTAAGGTCAAAGTGATATAATTATCTATGAAAGTGTATAGATATTTAAAAAATGCATGATAAACTTCAGGAAAAATATAAATCGTGGAATCGCTGATTCTAGTTATACAATTTTCTTGGAGTAAAATTAAATATATACATTTTTAGTCCTGCAAAAATCAAATGGCGAAGTATTGTCTCATCATACTTTCAAAAAACTCATCGTAAAACTATCAGAAAGATTGATTTTCCTAAATTATTAAAGGAACTTCTTTCAAAGTCATTCTCGATTGGTGCAGTTTCTGGGGGGGTTTAAACGTGCAGGTGTCTGTCCTTTCAATGATCAGGCAATGAAGGATAAGGTTGTTCGTTCACGTTCATCGTCATATGGTAATTCCATCACGACTAAGTAAGATATAATAGTGTTCTTTATTTCTCAACATTCATATGGTTTTAGTTTATCGACAATACAGATATTATCATCATTAATGAACGACGTACAAACATATGGTGTAGTTGCAGGTGATGATGATAATGGATCTACTCCAGCTTCAATTGATAATCAGTGAGTATGAATATGTCACTTCAATTTTTCTGAGAGCTGAGTGTGCATATCGCTAGTTTAATAGCAACATGATATCGTTCTATCTAAACGCATACTAGTTATGCATAATATTTTTAAGAACAGTCTTGACTTTAAATTGTCTTTTATACTGAATCTAATTTATTCGATTTATCATATTCTATTTACGACTACATTTTAATCAGATGTAGCTGTGTCTGTCAATCTTTCAAAGTTGTACACTTATGCAAAGTCACGTTGGAAATATTTCCCTATCATATATCTAATAAACTTTCTTTCTTACTGAATTTTCTCTTTTTTTCTTCTAATGGCTATTCAGAATACCAATCTACGCTCTCAGAACGACTATTTCACTATAATATATTTCATAGCTGTTATAAAAATTTTCATTTTCATTTGCAGTTCTGCATCGTCATCATCATCGGCATTATCTCGAGCTAAACGTACTTTTGACGACAGGTATGGAATGATTTAACATCGATTAGTTTCTCACTCCTACGACTCATTGTCTCTTCTGGTGATTCAGATGAATCCATCGATATTGAACAACCAAATAATGATAAATTAACTGTTTATGATTTATCTGATGAAGGTTAAAACTATATTAATATGTTCTAATCATCTTTCTCATGCGTGCATTTTAGATTCGGATGATGATGTCGATTCACCGTCTAGTCAAAATTTTTCACTTCCTACTAGTACATCAACAGTAACGACAGGTAAAACAAGTCCATCATCAGCTGTTCGATCAATTATTTCAACTTATATACGAGATCAACCAGTTACTACTCCACCACCACCAAAAAATCTCGTGTTCGTTTTGAACGTCGTTTTGGAGAAGACATTACGAGTGGTAATCTTCTTCAAGAATTGAAGGAAAAGGCTGAAGCCAAAAAAAAGTACTCAAAAATACAACAGCACCACGTTCTTCAAAAAAGTAGATCTAATACAATTTCACTCATAACCCTTTTCCTATACATATGTCATTATACTTAATATTACTATTATTCACTATAGTTTTATAAAACATAAACTAAGAAAAATGTTGAAGTATTTACGAGTAAAAATATGACGTACACTTCCCTTCTCACAGATCATGATAAACATTAGTAGCAAGCATTACAATAGATGTTTTATGTTTCACATTTTAATTCTCGATAAATTACATTAAGAAATTGTATATTAGCTGTGTAATGATGCGGTGACGAAATTAGGGACCAAAAATGCCTTGATGACGAAATTAGGGACCAAAATGCCTCGATGACGAAATTAGGGACCAAAAATGGCTTGGTGACGAAATTAGGGACACTTTTTTTTTGTCAATTTTAGACATCTTCCTCGCAAGTTATTAAACTCATTCTAGACACGTTCGTTTGTCATGTACCTTTAGATTATGGTAGATCTTGATACGCTCTACAAAATTGCTCAGGTGACCTTTGCTCATTTCCCGATGAAAAAGCCTAAAAAACTTGTTTTCTTCGAAAGATAAGATTTTGCTTGAATTTTCTATGTGTGTCGTAATTAGGGACCAAAAATGGCTTGCTGACGAAATTAGGGACAGGGCACCTAATAACGACAGATTGAGTCGACGATCGTATACCGCTGATTTCGCGGTAAAAAACTTGGAGGAGAAAACTCGTTTATACATCATTCGAAAGAGGAGAATCTAGGGATCATTGATATATAAAAATATTTTCATTCACATGTAAAATATTTGTGAACGAACTCAAACAAGTGGGAGCAATTTTTTGCTGTCGTAATTAGGGACATTTGCTCTACTTTATCTTCTTTTCTATTGACTAATGCACAGGAGTGTTGACTATAAGCGTAGCAGCCATCGAAGATATTGCTGTTTGGGTCGTACTTGCTGTAGCCAGCGCTTTCAGCAAAGGTGGTCCAGCTATACAAGGTTTCTATACTCTTTTACTGGCATGTGCTTTCGTTCTTGTTATGTTTGCCATCGTTCGCCTGTTGCTCTCGCTTCTTCATGTTTATTATCTTCGTCGAAATGATGAATATAATGTCTATTTTATTGTTATCTGTCTACTCATTCTTGTTGCAGCATCGCTTGCAACTGAAGTCATCAATATACATGCGTTTTTTGGTGCATTCATTACCGGACTCATTGTCCCACGCAAACAAAAGCAGGGAACTATACATGAATTTTTAGCGCTTCGAACTGAACTGTTTATCATCGAATTTTTTCTTCCACTGTACTTCACGAATTCGGGTCTAAAGACACACTTGAACATGTTGCATACGGGTCGAGCATGGTACACACTCGTTGGCATTGTTTTCATTGCATCTCTTAGCAAAATAGTACCTATAACTCTGATGACAAAATTGGTGACGGGAAAAAAAGAGACATGGTCCTTTGCATTGGCTGTTGGCATTCTAATGAATACGCGAGGAATTGTTCAGTTGGCCGTGCTCAACATCGGCGTCGAATTGGGCGTTCTTTCACCTGTCATCTTTGCTATTTTCATTGCAGCTGCTATTATCATGACATTTGCTACATCACCACTTCTCTATTTAGTCTATGGAAGACTCAGACCTACTGAAACAAAACAGTACATCCAAATGCAGAAGAAGACGACTGAAGTATCGAAACCGTATGATCTAGACACGAATCTGATCGAAGATCGGCAATCAAAACCATTTCGAAAATTGCGTCTCGAAACACCTTCTACATCTCCGAATTCTTCAATTCGTATTCATCTGAAAAGATTGCCTAAAGGACAGTGGCGACTTTGTAGAGAAATTGGTTCTGGTTGAAAAATCGATTTATCATATATACACTGAGAGAACTCGAGGTCTTAATTTCAGGAGACTACTTTTCAAGGGGGAACAAGCGGACTTCTGTACTTCCCAAGTACAAAAGTACGGAGAAGTACAGAGAAGTACCAAGAAGTACGAAGAAGTACGAAGTACAAAGAAGTACCAAAAAGTACGAAGAAGTACAAGAAGTACAGAGAAGTACGTGCTTTCTTCCTCGATTTTTTCCCAAAGCAGAACAAAAGTGTTCTGTTTTTTGGGAACAGATTTCTTGATATTTGTCAAGAAGTACCGAGAAGTACGAAAAAGTACGAAGAATTACAAAGAAGTACCAAAAAGTACGAAGAAGTACAAAGAAGTGCAGAAGTCCGCTTGTTCCCCCTTGATACTTTTTCTCTATAAAAGCACGAGTTTCGGTTGAATTTTAGTGGCAACACAATGTTGAAGGTATGGTTTGATCTACATAGCGTGTACGAAACATTTTATTTTTAACCTAAACAAATAAAATCAAATATTATATATGCATCAGTTACGTATTAAAAGCTGACTAACCTCATGCATGCAACAAAGATGGGGTGGATGAGGCTTTGTATGTGTGTTTGGTCTGGATATTAGTCAGGAATGTCGAGAAGACAAGACATAGAAATTCATAAGTTGTCAAGGAACTGTCACTGTCAATGGGTGTGGATTTTCGTGAGAGTTTCCGTGTTTCTGGAGGTGTTTGTATTGATGTAGGATGGGGTTGTAGTGTCTGTGAGAGAAGAGAACAACTTCGTCAATTCCCACCCAAATTTAACTGTACATTTCAAATAAAAACGAACTTAATGAATGATACTCTATCGATGCACATTTACAAAATTTCGAATTTCCAGCCAGGAAACACTGTTTTTTTGCAAGGTATTTAGTGCTTTGATACTCAAATGACTGAAGTTTTATATTTTACTTAATAAGCAGGAATTTCAGCACTACTGTAAATAGATGAGTTTCATATACAGAAGTATGACAATCTATAAACTATCGAAAAGATAATAGATTTTAAAACTATCTGATGATTATGTTCACACAAAAAGCTTCTTAGGTTTTACATCAGCCTTATTAGAGAATGTGTGTAGCAATTTATAAGTCAATGTTCTTTACTATCTTTTCTTGCCTTCAGGATTGAGCTAAGTGAACCTTATAGAGCTGACGAGTTCTTTGTATTCTATTTGATTGATTTAAAATAATTAAGATGAAAACTTCCTAGGATTTGTCAATCCTCATTTTGAATGAAAAAAGATGCTAAGTCATGTGAAGATCATTGTCAAATAATCGTGGTTAACATTTTTAAAAAGTTAAAACAACAGTTTCTTGTGTTTTCTCTTCTCTTATCTATACTATTATGTTTCGTATGCAGAATTACTTCGTATATTGAATGATGACATACTGCTCGAATTTCGAGCACAATAGTAAATAAAAATTTCTTCTTATTAATTCAAAGATAAAATCTCATTGAGAAAATATAAAACAATTCTCTTGATTTACCGCAAATCTTAATGTGACATTAATTTTAAGACTATTTTGTATTAAACATGAAAAGATTTATTTAAGGCTCCCCCCTCTCAGAAAAGTCAATTTTGGTCAAATTTATCGATTTTGTGATTTATAACTCATTAGATAGAGCTAAGTGTCTACTCTCGAATGCACTATAGTTGATTGATTTTATCATGAGATTTAAGGATATTACATAAATTTTTCCGAACCCCCATATCGAAAAAAATAAGGTTTTTAAAAACTTATTTTTCGTTTTTCTCAAAACATGGTTTCTACACCGAAAAACTGAAATAACTCCCGCTTGGCTCGGCAGACCACCGATGTTTTTTTTTGTTTTAAAGGTCTTGATCAGAGCTAACTTTTCATCGGACGGATTTTTGATATTGAATCCCAGAACTAAGAAAAGTGGGATTTACTGTCGTAGAATCACACTTTTTTATGCTTATTTTGCAAGCATGCTCACAAAATTGCTCATAAAAAAATGAATGGAAGGAAGTTTCAAAATTCCGTTCGATGAAAAGTTGCGTACAGAGGTTAGCTACAATTTGAAATCAGCTCGAGCTCTTTATCCCTTCTCTGGGCCGAGTTATTTCGATTCTCCCGAAAGGTAGGAAACTCAACCGAAATTGTGTTTTAGTCGGACATGCCAAGCTGAAATTTTTATCACAAGAGTTTCTCACTAAGACCAATCATCCCTGAAAATTTCAGTCAGAACGGAGGGTTCCAAGTGGGACTTCATTTCTGAGGGGGCCCTTAAACAACGAAACTAATTCTCTTTTTGTTATAAATCAACCTATTTATTTATCAATCCTCTGTAGGCATTGGCAAATCCACATAGAACTACTGTGTTTCTGTTTGTTTCTCAGTACATTAATACTGATCTTTTGGAATTACTACCCTTCTCTAATCGCTACTCTGATTTGAATGCATGAAATCTTTGCAAATCTTATAATGTGGCTATGGCCTTTTCACCCACATCCATACCCTGTCAAAAAGAGATGTTTAAATAAATACTATATGTTTATAAGTGAGACGGTAACATAACATACCTGTTTATCATCAATAACGATTCATCTAATTGACCGTATTGGTCTAAAATATTGCTCTGATGTAAGGCATCTAAAAGAATCGATTGAGGTTAGGATCAATTTAAATGATTTTCACAAGCCCTTGTATCGGTGCTCTTCATAATGAATCAATCATTGTTTCTTTTGATATTCATTTAGTTCATTTGAGTTTGTGCTATGATGAATCAAGTCATTTAGTATTTAAAAAGTAAATTAATTTTATTTTCGATCATTCAAAATATAAATTCTTACTCTAATGTTATCATTTTTGCGATATTGACTACTTTCGAGCATTAACACACGATGATAATATGTTGCAAACATATTCTTTGTTAATATAATTTGAATAAGAAGAATTTTTCCTCACGACAGAAAGCACATAGAAAGTTAAGCGAATCATAACTAAATGCACTACTCGTGACGTCCTCTAAAAAGTATTCAAAAAGCAGAATATAATATTGAAACTTATTGATAGAGAAAATTATTTTCTATCAAACTGCACTTCCAGTTTCTGTGAAAAAATGTTTATCCCTCAAAATATTTGGCACAATGTGACTAATCCAAACATAGATTCTTTGTAGTAGCTTTTTCTTGAAATCAACACTCAAGTCGAAAAATTTGGCTAGATCAAAAAAGACCATCTTTTCTGCAGCCATAATTGTTGTTAAGGAGAGCCTTGAAAAACAACGCATTTAGACTTTTAGCACCACTTATTGCATTAGTGTATTCGTCATTTGATATTGATTTGATGATTCATCCATATGTGATGGTATTAGAGATGGATGATTCCGGATCTGAATCGGAGTCGACATTGGCGATATCGACTTTGATCTTCCGAAAGCTGCGTACTCGTAATTTCAATCCAATTCTAAAAACAGTTAACTTTGTCCATCCATTCATCGCATACTATTTAGCTGTGTATAGGACAGTCGACTACAAGAAAATAGATACGTACAATCAGACTATCATATCTTTGCAATAGACAATAGTCTAATACAATGATAACAAAAAGAAAACATGTCTTCAGCTGACTATACAGGTAAAAGTGGGTGTAGATGTTGGTGTGGATGGCTTAGTATAGTCGACCCACACCCTTTAATGTGAACAAGTTCTGAACACTTTGAATCTCTGATTCGTCAGAAACGTTAGAGTTTTCTTCTCCACAATGTTTGATATTATTACTTCCGATGGGTGAAATGTTACCCTTCTTTACGTTCAGTTTATTCTTCGTGTTATAGTACAAGAATAGTTTGGTTGCAATCATATTGACCTTGGATCAATCGAAAAAAGAAAAAGCAACCGAATGGATCAAGCTATTAGTCGAAGTCGTCGAAAGTTGCGTCGAACAACGGCATGCAATTGTCGTCGATAATTTTTCGGTGTTAACATGAAGACAACAAAGGTCAATGTTGACGGAACATATGCCAAAAGGTAACCGAACAGAAAGAGCCATGGATCTCGTCTGGATCTCATACAGTCAATCTTGAAGGCGATGACTAGACGTGGCAAACCTAAGATGACTAGAACCCATGGTGAAAACAGAAGATGGTTGTGCCGATGAAGTTGTCGTCGAAGATGCTGTTGAAATGAATCTTCGGGTAGTGCATGCGAATAAATGCGTGCCAATAGAACAAGAATAACAATGGACAAGATCACATTAATGGAGAAGGGAACAAGAACATGAAACAGGGTGATGAACGAATTAAATATATCGAATTGCATGGAAAATCGTGCGAAGCACCAGATACGCTCTTCATCTGCATCGAAATCATCGATCAATTGACGATGAAACGGATCATGAAGATGAGTGAGAGTCGCAAAGAGAAGTACGGCAATGGTGATATATTTTGCCGTACGCTTTTTCTTATTTTGATCCAAAGTGAGACCAAGACGCAGGGTACATGTTCGATCAATAGCGAGACACGTATTGAGCCAGTCGCCTGATGTCAAGAGAATTTTTAGCAAGACATCCATTATGTGACAATGCCATATCAACAACAATCGATTGGTAATCCATGCCATTTGAGAAAAAATTAAGAACCACAATTTAATCGCTAACATACCAATAGTCAACATTGATAGTGCCGATGACATGATAAGATAGTAGCGACATCCGATCTCCCTTGAGTAAGCGCTGCGAAAGGTCCAAATCGATAGAAATCCATTGATGAAGCCGACTATGGCCATTACTGTGATAATGATCGCACTAAACTTGACCACCAATGGTTGCCGATCGAATGACACATTCGGTTTGATATGATAGCCGAGTATCGGGTCGAGGGTGAGCATAAAAGCTTTCGTAGAAAATTGACATTTTGCCCCATAGAAACATTCTGAGCATAAGCACATGGCCATGGTCGGACATGTTTCGTTGTTTTGAAAGCATTGACCACCATTCTGACA